GACGGTGAACCTTGTAGTTCAACATAGTTTAAATAATATTAAAAATCAATTAGGTCAGCTTAAGGCAATAGTGCTGTATTTCATACAGCTCATCAGCTGAGAGCAGACTGACGGCTATGCAAACTCAAATGGAGTTACCTCCTCTGAAACTTAGAGCGTTGTAACTAGGTGGAATTCCACTTATGACATGCTTGCAAGGTTGCTTAAAATTAAAGATGCCGTCGTTAGCACACTAGCCATCGAACAACCTCGACTGAACAGCCTGACATCTGATGATTGGATAGTCATAGAAAAATGTGTTCAGATTTTAAAAGTATTTTATGTCGTCACAGAAGAAATGAGTGCTGAGAAGTCTGTATCTATGTCTAAAGTATTGGTACTGGTAAAAATAATGAAACAGCATGTTGCGAATTGCCTTGCCGACAGTACTCCTTGTACACAACCTGTCCAATATGTTCAACTACTTAACTGAGCTACCACGGCGGATTTTTCTGTGCATTCTTTAAAATTTACCCCGTAGCTATAGTGGCGCCACCCTTATTTAAAGGTTTGTATGGACACTTTTTAATACACAGTCTGTACTCCTTACTTCTACACTCCATACACAGAACTCTAATCAATGTAGTGAGCTATCAGCGCAACAAAACTCGTATTACTTATCGATGTGCAGCCGTCGGTGGTTAAGCATATCGCATCGGCTTCTGTCTGCAACTGTAGTAGTGCTTTATCTCTTGTCTTTTGATAAAGTTTAGGTATTAAACTGGAAGATATTGTTTCGCGAGAAGGTAATGTATATGTGGGCAATATTGTTTTCAAAATATTTTGAAATTCTTCCTCTTCAACCATTGCAAACGAGTGATAACCCTTGACTATAAATTTTAAAATTTGTTCATCAAGCTGTTTTGTTTTGCTGATTGGTAATGGTCTCGTAGACACAGCGAAATTATTAATTTTTGACTGTACTTGTAATTGCGTGGTTTGGCGACGAGTTAGAGCTGCTGGTGCAGTTTTGTCGCATAGCGAAGGTACTGACTCACTTGATATGGAAGGAATACCATTGTTCCGTAGCGTTTAATTCAGCGCATCTCGGTAGGCTAACCTGAACTTGCGAGATTTTCACTCATCGGTTGCTCAATAGACACTGTTCCGTGTAATTTTATCATGTGCCTAGTCAAATTACCAGAATAGCAAATAGTTTTCGTTATGCCTTATCTTTATTTATTACAGAAAAATGACTCCATACCTACTTCTTTTTTTAGACAGATCTGACATTTTAAGTTATTAGGTAATTGCAAAACAATAAAAAAAAAATAAAAAACACGATTACAAATAAATTAAATTAATTACGGTAACAACAGTTTAGTTACTATGTTAAATTCAATACATATTCATAGAGTCATGCAATAGCATAAAACCCAACACCAAATAATTTGTTAAGTGTTAAATTATCTTATTAAACGACCAAAACTAATAATGTCAAATAAAACCACTTAAACGCATGCAAATCCTGAATAATATAACAAGACGCTTTCAAGCACGTGCCGCGGGTCATAAGTCACCGGTGCAACCGATTGGATCTCAATCAATGTTCTTAATTTTTCAAACAAAATTCATCAATCATCATCAATCAAGAAAGTGGTTGAATTATATGTAAACGAAGGAGATGGAAGACATTTTGTTTGTAACATCGCTGTGTTTACTGGGACTGCTGGGCAGAAAGCCCACGCTGAAGACGACACGTGCGATCGATTACACGTATCGATCAATTGTATGCGTGTAAATATATACCAATGAAGTACAATTTGGTTTTTCTTGTCACCTTAAAATCGTGTCAAATATGATCGAATCTTTTAGAGATCTATGATTCGATCACTCGTTTGTAGGTTGCGATCGAATCAAAAAGATTTGACCAATCGCGACACAGGTCTAATTGAAATAAAAGTATAATTACAGGTAAAAGTATCAACTCAAAAGTATCGAATACAAGTAGACCATAAGGACAAGAATACTATATTTTTGGAACGGATGTCTTTTGGACAAAATCGGTTGTACGTAGTTTCGTGGATTTGAGTAACTAGTTTCAAAACTGCTTACTTTTGTAACTAGTTACATCTGTATACAGTATAGCGTTGGTTGGTTTTAGGTTTGTAATTTAGTTAATTTTACGTTGATTACGAAAATATTAACAGGTTATTTATAATATTACATATTATAATATTAGTTTTATTTTCTGTTTTGTTATAATTACGAATATATAAGAGTTTATAGGTATTATAATATGCGCGCGACATTGTCAATTAGTACCTTTATACAATTTTACACAGTCACAAAATATGTAAGTACCTAAGTATTATTGTCCATCACATCACATAATTTTTATATTTTTATTTTTATGATCCACATAATCCACAAAAATCAACCTAATGTATACATCAAATTATTAATTATTTATTTATACTACTTAATACTTATATGTCTATTTATGTAGACTACATGTTTATTTACACTATAAATGTTTATTCACAAAGAAAATTATACATGTAATAATATTTAAAAAAAACGCAAAAAGTTTTTATGAACACAGTTCACAGACTCGAGACAATAACATTCGTCAATAATCCCTTGCATTTGTTAACTGTCTATAATTCTATTAAAAAGTAGAAACACGGTCAACTGGTCAATGTCGCAATTTCTTTAAAGAAAACATTACCATAATGAACTTTAAGTCTTTCCAATTGCATATAAATTCGCATGGGCATTTGCATTCTAAAAAAAAAACGCACCGATTACTATATTTCCGTCTCTTTTTATCTTGCGTGTAAGCCAAACCTATCCGGAATGGACTCTTTACTTTCGTTGTGCAAGTCATATATCATGTTACGTAGCTATAATCATCTTAATAATATATCTGTTCAAAACGAAACGCTTACGCGAACGCCAGTCATTGTGTGTGGCATCTGCGTACGTAAAATAATCGTTACATTTTTGTCCACGAAACTGGGTATACGATTATCAGCCTCGTAAGCGGTTTCTGAAATCGATTACGTTAAATAAACGCTCACCTCTAATATAGTTTATCATTTGCCAATTTTTAAAAGTACCTATACTTACTCGGATACTAAGTATTGAAATAAAAGTATCATTACCGGTAAAAATATATACTCAAAAGTATCGAATATCGATACTGAACCGTAGATGGGTCGTACTTGCAAATTCGAGTACCAGGGTTTCCAAGTACGTCCACCTTCGGATACCAGCGCTAAAAACTAGGGCTCAAGATACTTTCAAGTATTTTATTTCTGCATCGAAAATTGATCCGTAAGTTCATACAAATAAGGAGTTGAATCGTATATGCTAAAATAGTAAACTTTCAAAGTTCCTCATCGGAAGAAAAATACTTGCATAGAACATTGATCCGTAACTGTATAAACAAATATAGAACACAGTCGTGTTTACCAAATAACTTCCAAACCTTTTAAAAGTTCCAACTTTTAAGCCTTCTTGGAAGAAAAATACTTGCATAGAATATTGATCCGGAGTCACATACAAATAAAGAGCACAATCGCGTTTACAAAAAAAAAACTTCCAATCCTTTAAAGTAAATATACCTTCATAGAACATTGATCCGTAACAGAATATATATAAGGAGCAGAATCGTAATGAGTGTCGACAGAGCGAGAATATTCAAATACTTTGAAGTCTTGCGAGTATTTTGGGTCGGCACTTGGTCGGCGTACTTGCAAGTAAATACCTGGTATAAAAAAATGGTCGCGTAAATACTCATTTTCTCTATTAAAACGATTAACTTAATCCGCTATTGTTATTATAAACCATACGCGAATGAAAAACCTGTATTTCGATCAACCCCATACAACCTGATCGTCTTCTGATTCCGATTATCTGATAAATTATTTAACTGGTAAATTCTCACAAAACCATTATGAACAGTAAGCTCTTCATTAAAAAAAAATCTGAACTGCCGATACTATATTTTGCTATTCTTTCCATTGTTCGAATTATAATCCCACAGAAAACTATACAAAAAAACATGTGTAACAAATTTGTACAAAGTGATACAAAGTTATTCACTCCATAGGTAGAACTAGTATTGCAATTCTGGATCATAATTAATTGGGAATACTGATACAATCGGATTTTTCGTTCCTGTACCATACGTAAAATAAAATAAATCCTTTATTATTTATTTTTCAATCAGTAAGTATCCGCAATTGCTGTTTCAAAAAGACAATAGTTTATAATAACTGCCAATAAAACATCGTATTTTATTTGGATCTATCAGGCTTTATCTATACGGTAGTTATTTTCGTTTACTTACCTCTGAGTACGTATTATGTTTTTTTTTTAAGTTAGAAGTATTACTGCTAGACTTTACAACTTTCAAACAAATTTTACATTTCACATGTACAACACGAGATAAACGCAAAATGAGGTGGTTACAAATAGGAAGGTTACTAACCCAGGCATTATTTTATCAATTCACCACACAATCAATCAAAATTTGATCGAAATAATTGCAAACAAGTCCGATGTTTTTTTTCCATTTAACTTTCTTTACTGCTCTGTGTTCTAATCCTTCTGATCCTATCATTCCTTTCAGAATTTTCGTTTCACTACAACTCCGATGTTAGCGCGCGTCAATCACACTGATGACTGACTCATGAGACAGATGATATCAACAGGCGTTTGAGGCCTATGTTCAGCAGCGGACTTTGATAGGCTGTGAACGATAAGGAACATAATTATAATCATACATACATAAACACTCACGCCTGTCGCCCAGAGGGCAGGCAGAGACTACAAACTTCCACTTGATACGATCCTGACACACCTCTCTCGCCTCCTCCACATCCATATACCTACGCATACATGCTCGTCGGTTTAGGATACTCCTAATTTGGCCTATTTTCAATATATCGTCAATTTGGTCGATAAATTTTCGCCTAGGACGTCCCTTTCCAACTCTGCCGTTCACTTCTGCAACATAAATTTGCTTTGTCACTCTTTCCTCATTCATTTTTTGCACATGACCAAACCACCAAAGCATTCCTTTCTTAATCCTGTTCACAACATCATCTTACAAACCACACTCTTCTCTTATCACACAATTTCTCACCAGTGATTATAGTCACTGTACATTATATAAAAACTCACCTGCATATTGGTACGTTGCTGAGGATGCCTGTTTCCGGGAGGGCTAGGCGGATCCCCGAGCTGGTTTAGCGCCTCCGTTGGAGGGTATGGTACTCCTGAAGGGTCGAGGATCTGTCAATTTATCAAATTTGGTCTTAAAATTCGGTCAATTATCTATTTTTCGGTAAATTAGATTTTAATTATTTAAACATATAGAAATAAGATTATGTTTATGGTATATTTAACATGTAGGATTCTTTTTCAGTCCGGTATGAAGGGTATAAGATCCAGTATAATTACAGGCAGCCAGATCCTTGTCCTCAACAGTGATAATGTCTAGTCTGTGGCTTTCTGTAATGTTTTTTTTTATAGGAAAAGGGTGACAATCGAGCACACAGTCCACCTGATGGTAAGTGGATGCTGAGGCCCATAGACATCTACATTTAACCTCGATTATGAATCAAAATGTAGATGCGTTGTCACCCTTGATGTCTAAGGTGGAATGCCTCGATTCCAGTAAAACGGGTCTTCGGTTCTCTACACTCACCATACGAAACACAGCAGCGTTAAGCTGCTATTTTACGCTGGTATTCTATGAGAGCGTGGTCCTTCCCCGGTCGAGCCGACCTATTCATGCTACAACCATAATATAGCTGCAGCGTGGCTCTACCACGTATAATTTTCTTCTTATATTTACTCAAATTCTACACAAACTATGAAACTAATTTTACGGATTTTATGGCGTTTAATTTAAACTTTTTAATTTCAGACGTTTCGGGTGCTTTAAAAAAAATTATTTCGTTTTGAAAAGTACATGCCTTAAAAACTAGTAGATTGGAACCTCTAAAGCAAATAGCCTTAGTGTTTGGAGGATCCGCCCTTCCATTACCACATCCATGTTACAAGGCAGTATGGGGTAAACATATTCTATATCCCATATTAATGTTATATATATTACTTAAATTCTAAAATTACAACGATAGGAACTAGTCTACTTATAAATACTGTAGGGTATGTGAGTGAAAGTTTATAACAGTACCCATGGTCACGGCGAGGAATGCTGTGAAAATTAGTTTCATTTAATGTGACCTTCTATGTTTGAAGCTGGTTGCAGGTGTCAATGGGCTGAAGTGGCCCCTTACAATCAGATCTATCTGTCTACTGTAAGTACATATGGTATTTCAGTTTTACAAAAAAAGTAACTTAAGAATTATGACGTCATATATTCTCATATGATCCGTAGACAGGGAAACCTATAGACAAATTAACCCCTTCTTTCGCATTCGCACACGAAAAAGATAGATTTATGCATACGTCTTGCGTAGAAATAAGACAGAACGATGTGATTGTTTGTCCCTTTCTCCGTGCCGGTTTTTTTTGTTTAGCAAACTACACTTTGCTAAACAACTTTGACAGTTCGTAGCGATCTAAGGAGTTTACAAGTTGGTTTAAGTGAGAAAAAAGTGTTCTGTGAGCTTAAGATTGGTTAATCTTGTTCAGTTCAGTTCTTAGAACAATTAAAAATTTTATCTAAATATGTTCAAAAGTCATAAAGATTATTGTATAACCTAAAACTACGTTATCGTCCTTTCTCACTCAACGCCACGCTAATCATTAGTCTATAGGTTTCTCTGTCTACGTCTCATACAATGGCTGACAGAAACAGAAATGTTTGTGTTTTGTTTTGACAACTCTTAAAACATTTCAATTGACTTGAGTAGCAAATACAAATAATCAATTAACACTATTAGGACAGTAACAGTTAATTTTCATGTCAATTGAGTGTCTTTTAATTGATTTTATTGGCACATTTCTCTTCGTTATTCTTTTGCAAGTTTTGCTAATATAGAAATGGTTAGAACAACGGTGAACAATTTGAAGAAAAACAAAAGGTAAATGTCGCAAATAATATCTAGTGTTACTTTTTTACTTAATTAAAGTGAAAGTAGACTTTAAGTAAAAAAGAAATCGGGGCTAAGACAGTACGTTAAATAAAAACCCTAACTTGTGAGTTTTTTTTAAATTATTTTATTATTTTTAGTTGTATGAAATCCGTCATATTTGTTTTATCAAAATCCTGATTTTTTGACAATTTTGAGTTAAGCTCTTAAAATTTATATGGAACCTCCTCCGGAATTATAGCATATTTAATAAGAAAAAGAACAGTTAAGAAGGCATTTTTTATGTCGGTGGAGAAGTATTAATGAAGTGAACACTCACCCTCTGCACATACGGAACTGGAATCGAACCGGTGCGTCCCTGACTGTTACGCGCCGTCCACCATTGCTCCTCATCCCTGTTGATCACCATGAGCCGCTCGCCGCGTCTGAACGGCAGGTCGTCGGCGTCCTGGAACAGCAGTATTGCAATTATGGTTTATGACTGAATTATTTTATTTATTTTCAAGCAGTAACACCCAATTTTAGCCCCTCAGGGGTTAAATTTTCCTAAATCCTTTCTTAGTGAGTGTCTACGTCGAGTATATATGCCAAATTTATAGTCAATCGGGCGTTTGGTTTTTGTGATCTCGTGATGAATGAGTCAGTCAGTGGTATGTCTAGATTTATAGTAGTGTTGCGCACCATAATTAATGCCACTAGCGCCATCTAGTATCGAATAGCAGAACTAAGCTTTCTAGGAAATTCCACACTAGAACTTTCTACACCTAGCTGGTCGAAACCGGTATGTGCTCGAACTTTCAGTAGAAGAGGGCCTATACAAGACCGGTGAAGACCACGACCGATTCAGTATTGAATTGGCAATACAAGCGAATACTTCGAAGCGATACAACTGCGAATTATGTTTTAAGTTGTAATTGGTGTTAATATAAGGAGGTGTAGCCGGAATTATAATATAATATAATATAATATAATATAATATAATATTCCAACTATCACACAACGCCATCTAGTCCCAAGCTAAGCAGAGCTTGTGTTATGGGTACTAGACAACTGATAAACATACTTATATATTTCGAAATACATAAATATTATAGATAAATTACACCCAGACACAGAACAAATGATCGCGCTCATCACACAAACATTTGTCCTGGGTGGGAATCGAACCCACGACCTCCGGCATAGATAGGGTCACTAACCACTAGACAACAGGCCTGTCAAATTGTCAAAGGGAATCAAAATATAAATAAATGAATGATAAAGGAAGAAAGGAAAGGACTAATGTCTTTTCTTTCTCTGCACCAGCCCATTGAGAAGTCCAACCTCATGCCCTACTTCTGGAAATAGACTTTACCGTAACAGAGAAGATTTAACAATGTCACGCTTGACTGGCGGATTGTGATTTCTTTGTATTAAAGTATTGAGTTGCCTTCTCGTTTTACATTAGAGAGATGGTTACCAAAGGGTGGAATAGTTTCGGCTTCAGTCTTCCTCTTCAATGTTGGTGTATTCAAGGCAATAGCGAAAAGGCTTTTGTTAAGCTATGTCAGGATGCTTTACCATTTTCGGCTGTATCACCACTTAGTGGTGAGAATAGTAGTCAAGCACTGGCTTTTCCATAGAATTAGGGTGACAAACGAGCACACAGTCCACCTGATGCTAAGTGGATGCTGTGGCCTATAGACATCTACATTTATACTCTATTAAAAATCAAAACACAGATGCATTGAGACCCCTGAGGATTAAGATGAAATGCCTCGTTTCCAGTTAAAAAGGGTCTCCGGATCTCTTACACTCCCCATACGATACACAGCAGAATTAAGCCGCTATTTTAAGCTGGTATTCTGTAAGACCGTAGTCCTTCCCCGGTTGAGCCGACCCAAAAATGTTTATTTTTTATAGAATAGGGTGACAAACCAGCACACAGTCCACCTGATGGTAAGAGGCCTCTGTGGCCCATAGATATACATATATCCTCGGTTTCGAAAAAAATGCATATGCGTTGTCACCCGTGAGGACTAAGATGGAATGCCTCGTTTCCAGTAAAAAAGGGTCTCCGGTTCTCTACACTCACTATACGAAACACAGCAGCATTAAGCTACTATTTTACGCTGTATTCTGTGAGAGCGTGGTCCTTCCCCGGTCGAGCCGACCCATTCTTGCTACAGCTATGTTACTAATATAACTGCAGCATGGCTCTACCACGTAAAAAAGCTTAGAATAGTTAAAAAAATACCGCCGACTATCAGAAGCCATGAGACATTTCTGGTATTTCTTATAGTCATCTTTTAAGACACCTACAGGACGAAATGGGGTGAGGTGGTAATCTGGTGCATTCTTTTATGCCGTCACCACATGACAAATTATATTTAAAAAAAATATAACGCACATCGATCATTCGAGAAACACTAGTAGAAAGCTCATAAAGCATTAAAATACGACCACCCTAAACAAGTTCGACCGTCTCTCCAAACGTAAACAAAATAAATAAAAAGTAAGTCACGCGGAACATAAATTCACGCTAATTACGTTATTAAATTTATAGAGTTTTGAAACTACATCTACCATAAAAACATAATGTTCTCTACACCGAAATTCGGTCATAACGACCAGTCTCGACGGAGACTAGTCATCTGCCCACGACAGGATTATAGTGGCCGAGTGTGTGCGTAAACACACACAGGTGCACTCTTTATTCCTTCACTCTCATAGTCCGATGGGACGGAAATCAAGTGCAGAACCAACGGCTTCACGTGCTTTCGAAGGCACACTTTTCAAGGCTTTTTATATTTTTTATGGCACGATTCTGACACTTTTCGATACCTTCACATCTATATATGTAACTACGCTATATGGTCGTCGATTAAAGGTGTTTTTAATTGAGCCCATATTCAATATATAGCCAATTTGCCAGTTTGGTTTCATACGTGGTAGAGCCAGGCTGCAGCTATATTATGGTTATAGCACGAATGGGTCGGCTCGACCGGGGAAGGACCACGCTGTCACAGAATACCAGCGTAAAATAGCAGCTTGATACTGCTGTGTTTCGTATGGTGAGTGTAGAGATCCGGAGACCTTTTTTACTGGATATGAGGCATTTCATCTGTCTTCAGGGGTGACAACGCATCTTCGTTTTGATTCTTAATCTAGAATAAATTTAGATGTCTATGGACCACAGCACCCATTTACCATCAGGTGGAATGTGTGCTCGTTAGTCAACCTTATTCTATAAAAAAATATTAGTCATTAGTTGCCGACTATACCAGTTAGAATTTTCTTCAAGTAAACTTTGGGGTGGAAAGGTAAGTTATTCTTAGCACGCAGGTATCTTCGCAATGTTTTATGATATTATATGATATAGGAATATCACCCCGATGTTTTCCAATACAGTCAAGCTCGTGGAAGTTAGTTTATTAGTTATTAACATTATAAATAACAATTTCAGTGCTACCGGCGGAGATCAGCCCCGGTTTGCTCGTGTACAGGAAATTCAAGGCGAAACCTATCACCTGAGACCGGCTCTGACATAATTTGTTATGTCTTACTTTTCTTACCGTTACAGCCTATTAAAATCCACTGCTGAAAATAGGCCTCCCCCATTGATTGCCTCATAGGGGGGATAATTGAAATAGTTGCCACGCTTCGCACCCGCTGTTTTTATTTTTATTTTGAGTTGTTATCAGGAAGACGCTGCTTCCCATCTCCTGTTTCAGTTTCCCTCTTTCGCCTCTTACGGCACCTACGGGACCATGTATACTAAAAATAAATATATAATACCCCACATTGTCCCGAATTACTAAATTAAAAAGAATTACTAAGAAGCGCCGTGTAGCCTTTACATACAAGGTACTTCTTTTAAGATTTTTATAAAAATGTTACGTTAAATTTCTTGTTCTTCATAATTATGTCTTATATTTACGCGATTACTACGCATTGAATAAAAATATATTTTTACGAATATTATCGCGTTATTTCTCGCGCTTTGCAGCATCCAAAGCACCCAAAACCGGGGATGGGGTTTGCTGAGGTGATTGACGTTCCTATGGCAAAGTTAAACCGGAATACCTTCAGCTTCTTATTATTAATTTTGGACTGATCTATGCAGAATGAGCTTACTGTGTCTGGAAGTCTTGCAGTGGTATGCTTGGGTTTAGTTTTAATTTTATTAGTTACAGGGTCCCAAGCAGGTGGTAGAACCCAGCCTCCTTCTCTATTGAAATTAGGATGTTGTTTATTTTTTGATTTCGATAGCCATACTTGTCATTATTGGTAGGAATCGATGTTCTTTAGCGAGGATTTGTGATCACAAACTGCAGACTTCGGAGCGTAGGTGTTTTATGTGGTGGTGAAAAGCTTTATAAAAACCGGCCAATAGCGTGTCGGGCCACGCTCAGTGTAGGGTTCCGTAGTTTCCCGTCCGTCACAATAAGTGTTCCCACTTATGAGTTTGAAGGTGGGTATCCATTATGTTCGCGCTCCAGCAGCGCTCCGCGCTCCTGCAACTGCACCCGGTTGTGGGTACGTGCGCGAACATGGAGCGTGCAACATTGCACGCTCCGCGGCAGGCGCTTCGACTCGTGATGGTTTTTAGCGCGAACACAAAGGGGAGCGCAGTGTGTCAAAGGGGAGCGCATGTAGAAGTGCGCGCGACGTATCCTAACCTTAAAAGGCTATTTGTTACGGAACTCTAATAATTACGGAACACTAAAAACGGGCCCACAAAAGACGGTGATAACTAAAAACTGTTGTTTCCATCCAAGTTCAAAATGATTTTCCTAGAAAGTCCTTATAAAGTTCTACTTATCAATTTTTTTTCATATTTTCTGAACTTATGGTTCAAAAGTTAGAGGGGGGGACACATTGTTTTTTACTTTTGGAGCGATTATTTCCGAAATTATTGACATTATCAAAAAATTATTTTAGTAAACCCCTATTCATTTTTAAATACCTTTCCAACAATATATTACACGTTAGGGTTGAAATTAAAAAAAAATCACTTCCCACTTTACATATAGGGCTACCCTAATAAAACATTTTTTTCCAATTTTTATTTTACCACTTTGTCGGCGTGATTGATACACATATTGGTACCAAATTTCGGCTTTCTAGTGCTAACGGTCACAGAGATTGAGCGAGGACGGACAGACGGACAGACAGACATGGCGAAACTTTAAGGGTTCCTAGTTGACTACGGAACCCTAAAAACCTGCGTAAAATAATATATAGCTGAATTGAAACACTACTGCTCCGAAAAGTACTCTTTTTGTTATAGAATAAGGGTAACAAAAGAGCACATAGTCCACCTGATGGTAGGTGGGCCCATAGACCTCACGGTCACGGCGTGGTGGCCAGTCTTAACGGAGACCAACCATCTGTGTAGGCAGTATTAAGTACCCGAGTGTATGTACAAGCACAGGTTCACTCTCTATTTCCTCGCTCTCATAGTCC